ACCTAGCCCTGCCCAGCCTGGGCAGGTGGAAGACACCCATAGTCCCTCCCGGTAGCTCAAGACAACTATGTGGTGAAGAATTGGAAGAGAAAGAGAAGCAGAGCAGTTCATGTGGCATGAGAGAGGCAGAACTGAAGAAGTGAAGACAGTGAGGAAGACGCTGATATGGGTGGCTTGTGCTGCCACCCAGAGCCATAGTGGTATTCGGCCGGGCTTCTACCAAAGGCCATGTCTGGGTCTGTGGCTCCACAGCAGCCAGGGTCAGTTACCACTGAAGACATTGCAGATGTCCAAGACCTGGGTCACCACCTGAGACCATGTTGGTGCCTGAGAATCACGATGCCACCAGTGCCACACTAATCTCAGTGACCTGTGCTGCCACCCAGAGCCATAGTGACATTCAAGCCTGAGTTGCTGCAGAGGGCCATGCCTGGGTCTGTGCCTATGGTCTGCCTCAGCCAGGATCTGTGTTGATGTCTGTGCCTCCTGTTACCATAAAAGGTTATACGGGTGCCAGGCAGGGGTCTGTGCCACCACTGGTGGTCATGTTGGTACCCAAGGCCCATGCTGCTGCCAGGGCCATACTGATCTGAGTGGCCCACTCTGCCCCCCAGCACCAGGGTGACAATCAGGCCTGAGCTGCTGCCAAGGTCCATGTCTCAGTCCATGGCCTTACTGCAGTTTGAGTCCGTGTTGTTTGTGGCCCTTGTTATCACTTTCGGAAGGAGGGAGAAATGTGAACCATTCACACTAAGTTTCTCTCCCCATCCCAGCCATTTTGTAGTCAGAGTTTCTCTTCCGCCTGGTCCTGCCTCCCTTCAGCCCCAAATAAATACACAGAGTCTTCTATTAATTATAAACTGTTTGGCCAATGACTCAGGCTTCTTACCGGCTAGCTATCTCTTAATTATTAACCCATAAATATTAATCTATTATTTCGACATGGCCTTATCTTACCAAAGAACACCTGGCATGTCCTATCTTCCCAGTAGCTACATGGCATCTCCCCGACGCTCCTCTCTGCCTCCTCTGCCCAGCATTCTCCTTGTCTGGTATCCTCACCTATACTTCCTGCCTGGCTACTGGCCAATCAGTGTTTTATTCATCAACCAATAGCAAAACATACATACAGAAGGACATTCTTCCCATCACCACCCTTCCCTGGCCCAAGGAGATCTGGCCCTGCCCCTCGCTGTCTGCTGCAGCAGGAGAGTTGGCCCCACCCCATGTGGGAGAGCTGGCCCTGATGACCCTGGCCCTGGGAGATCTGTTCACACACCTTACAATGGGCACAGGAGAGCTGACACAATGGTAGAGATGAAGGAGAGCTAGCTCTGCCCTTCACCTGGAGGGGGGGGGGTTCCTAGTGGAGGGCCAGGCTGACCAGCTCAGCTACTTTGCAGGTACTGTATCCAGTGCTTTGAGTTGGCCCATTCCATCATCTACCCTATTTATGACCTACTGGAGCTCATGAAGGGACTGGTCCTGTGGAACAGAGTAACTCCAGGCAACAGCAGAACGCCTAAGAGGGCTTCAGTGAGATGCCAGTATTGATAGTGTACCAAAAGCCAGAGGCCGTGAACCAGACCAACAACTCATTACAATGAACAATTGCAAACAAAGCTATTTGAAGAAAGGAATCACGACACACCAAAGCTCCCAATGCAACTAAGATGAAGAGGTGATGGAGAGGCATGAAAGACAGAGAAATGAAGGGCTTTGCAGTTCTCTTCTGGTTGTTTGTTAATTGATAATTTTATTTTCTTTGGAGGGGAGCTGCAAGGGTGAAGACCAATATGGGAAGACTGGGAAGTGAGAGGGATTTCAATGCATTATATAAGTTTCCCAAAGAATCAATAAAAATTATGTTTAAAAATATTTTTAAATCTTTAAAACTCAAAAAAGTCAATACATAAAAAGTAGTATGGTGTCTGCCTCTTAAACATAAGGCGCTGGATTCAATCCCCATAACAAATAATAAATTTTCTTTTGTTCTTATTGGGATTTGTGTGTGTGTGTGTGTGTGTGTGTGTGTGTGTGTGTAGTATTGCTTCTCTTTTCATGTCAAATAGTCATACATTAAAGTATGTATCTATGTAAAAGTCTATGATCCACAAATGAGAGAAAACATGTGATTCTTTTTCTGAATCTGGTTTAATGTAATAATCCCCAGTTGTACCCATTTTCCTACCAATGACATAATTTTGCCTTTGTGGTTGGAAATAACCCTGTTGTACATCACATGCCCCAGACAGACATAGAGTTGACTCCATCACTTTTCTACTTGTTGAGACAGAGTTTCACTCAGTACCCCATGCTATGTCTATGAGTGCTGTGTCTGAACATATGTCTGCAAGTCAGAAGAGGGCATCAGAGCCCATGGGATTAATGATGGGGGATGTTCTTCTGTATATATATATTTCTCTTATTGGTTGATAAATAAAACACTGATTGGCCAGTAGCCAGGAAGGAAGTATAGGTGGGGCCGCCAGATACGGGGAATTCAGGGGAGAGGAAGGCAGAGAGGAGCGGCCAGGGAGATGCCTGCTGAAGGATTAACATGCCGAATTACAGGTAAACCACAGCCTCATGGCAATACGTAGTTTAATATAAGTGGGTTAATAATTAAGAGAGAGCTAGCCAATAAGAAGCCTAAGCCATTGGCCAAACAGTTTATAATTTATATGTCTCTGTGTGCTTATTTGGGTCTAATCGCCTGTGGGACCAGACAGAACAGAAACTCCGACTTCAGACTACAGCTATAGATGGTTGTGGGCCACCATGTAGGTTCTGGGAATCAAACTCGGGATCTCCAAAAGAGCAGCTGGTGCTCTTAACTGCTGAGCCATCACCATCAACTGAAATTTTTTATTATTATTTTCCACATAGGGATTTTTGCTTTGTACACAGTGGGGCTGCAGTGCTCTTGAAATCCAGAAGGGGGCATCAAATCCCCTAGAAGTGGATTTCAAAAAAGCAGTTGTGACTCTGGAAGAGCAGACCCATTTCCCTCAGACCCTGAAAACAATTTTTCAAAGAACAAAACTTTGCTAACAGCTCACTGTCTTTCAGGCTTATACGACAAACCTGTCCTCTCCACAGATCAAAGCCACGTGCTGAAGCCAGGAGGAAGCATTTCCTTCCAGTGTAGTTCAGCCCACAGCCTGTTCAACAGATTTTCACTGGCCAAGGAGGGAGACGCTTCCTTGCCAGGGCACCGACATGAAGGGCACCGAGGCAACTTCAGTCTTGGTCCTGTGAACCCTGACTTTGCTGGGAACTACCGGTGCTACGGATGGCACAACAGCAGCCCCTATGTGTGGTCAGCCCCCAGCGACCCCCTGGAGCTCACTGTCACAGGTAGATCCGTTACAGCCCAGCTCCTGTTCTTCGCCAACGCTGTCTCTAGGTGGGAATGGGAAGAGGCGTCCTGAGATGGATGAGTAC